ATCTTCCATTTCTAATTTGGAAAGAAAACTAAGTGGGAGGGAAACAGGGACTCACCTCTTGGGAGGAAGACTGTAGCTCCTCCTCCAGGACCGCCACGCGCTCCAGAGCTACCCGTAGCCTTTCGCGCACTTTCTCATCCAGAGCTTTGTGATGCTCGAACAAGGACTTGAGGGCCTTTAGGACCTCCACCTCACTAGAGACCCCGGCCGGAGACTGGGCCTGCCTCTTCACCACGGTCATCCTCAGGCTGCGCTCGTGGCGGGACACCAGGCACTCCAGATGTTCGAGCAGCAGCTGGAAACACATGTGGTTCACATGCAGTAAAAGCTCACCACAGTGCGCCTCTGATATGTCTCAGAGGATTACGTTTTCTCGTGTGAAGTCTTTCAGAAAAGGCGAGGTTGCATGCCAGGATGAGAGGAGAGCATAACGTAAAACAGACATGGAAGTGTACTGACTCGTGTGTTGTTCCTCTCTGCCTTCAGCTCCGCGATCTCCTCCTCTCTCTCCAGCAGCTGTTCCCGGCAGAGGTTCAGCTCTTTGGTCAGCACTGCAAACTCCTGCAAGGTCACAAGAGGGTGCTGTTATTGACTGAACAGTGCTGCTGCTGCATGAGGTCATGAGTGCAGGTTAGACATACTGATCACACACACACACACTGCTTTACCTCTCATTCATCCAAGAATGATTACAGAAAGGTCAGGCAGGTGGGACGTACGGGTGGAAGTTCAAATTCAGTCAGGAAACGTGTGACAGCTGATTTACATTGAAGCTGCAAGGTTTTCTTTTATTTTAAAGATGCTTTGCAAATAAGACATGAATCTGCTTCTGCTTGTCCATCAGAAACCAAAAAATGTAGTGAGGAGAAAATATATATATATATATACAAACTCATTTTGTTACATTTTGGTGTCACTTTATTTGCTTTAATTTTGACCCCGATCTAAATGCGATCAAAACTGCCTTCATCAAAAACATATACAGGAATAAATAAATGATTTAATTAATAAATAAATCATGAAATGCAGCAAAACAATATGAAAATTGATGATAGTCACAAATTCATTTAGAAAGTGTGATGTAAATGGATTATTTCTGTTTTCATTTGTTTGTTTTTATTGCCATCAAGCTACATGTACATTTTAGGATCGTTTTTAAAGTCCTTTTATTTGTTTTGAAATCTCTTAAAACTCGTCTTAAAACATATTTATTTGCTGAAGCCTTTGGTACTCTTTAAGGGGTTGACTCAATTTGTTTTAACATGTTTTATTTTATCTTATTTATTTAGTAACTTATTTTATTTTATCTTATTTAATTTTATTTTACTTTGCTTATGCTATTTGTATATGCACAGCACTTTGTGAACCCTGGTTTTATGTTAAAGTGCTTTATATATGAAGCTGGTATGGTATGGTACATTTGTTTTATTTCAGTTATTTTCACATTAATTTCTGTATTCCTGATTGAATATTTGGTGTATATATTTAACAGCATACCTCATATTAATGGAAAAATGTTTTTCTAGTTACTTTCAGAAAACCATTCATCAGTGAGGCTTATTTAAAAAATGCTTCAGTTTGCTGAGGTGCATAAATATCAGACAGAGTCCAGATTTTCCTGATTGATGCATCATATGAAGTAATCAGTGTTGGGAAGGTTACTTTTAAAATGTATTCCATTACAGAATACAGAATACATGCCCCAAAATGTATTCTGTAACGTATTCCGTTACGT